TGTTGCAAATCCGGAAGCTGCAGCTAGTGCAGAATGCTGCAGCTAGGCTGCTGATGGGTCTCTCAAGGAGGGACCACATCCGGCCGGTGCTGCAAGCGCTGCACTGGCTGCCTATAGCATACCGGATTTGTTTCAAAGTGCTGGTTCTCACCTTTAAAGCCCTGAATGGCCAGGGTCCAGTCTACCTGAGGGACCGCCTCTCCCCGTATGTTCCCCCAAGAGCGCTGCGATCGGGGAGCCTGGACCTCCTTGAGGTCCCGGGCCCCCGGAATATCAAGCTAGCCCTAACCAAGGCCAGGGCTTTTTCGGTGGCGGCTCCTACCTGGTGGAATGAGCTCCCGGCGGAGATCCGGGCCCTGCGGGACCTAGTGCAGTTCCGCAGGGCCTGTAAGACGGAGCTCTTCCGCCAGGCTTTTGCGTAGGAGCCGCCGCCGTCGCCACTATACCACCACCGTGGCCTGATTTACCATCTACCTGGCTCTGGGTGAGGGCTGACGTTGCCCACAAGAGGATCATTACTCTGGCGTTCCTTCTTTTATACCATCGGCCGCCAGTGAGGGACATTGACCACCTTGAACTGTTAAAATGTACCGTATAGCACCATTTTAATTTGTATTTATTAAGGTTTTAATTGTAATTTATGTTTTATCTCCGGCGTTGCCGCTTGTTTGCCGCCCTGGGCCGCTTGGGTTGGGCGAGATATAAATCCCAAATAAATAAATAAAATAAAATAAAATATGTATCTGTCAGACGTTATAGGTGTGTTTGTAATGTGTTAAACAAATCTAGTATTAACCAAATTTTATTGTGCAGTGCTTCCTGTCAATTGCTCTGCTTCTTTGTAGCTTCACTCAAACCTGTTGCTATGAGACATAGGACCGATTTATTCCAGACCAAAAGTCACACTCGCTGTTAAGTAGGTGTGAGCCTCTTATCACTGCCCATATTCGCAGTGGCCTGTGTGATGACTCTGTAGCAGCTGTCCTGCCTCATAAAAGTGAACAAATCATCAGGAAATGCTTTGCATTTTTGAAAAAGTTTTGGTTCCCCTTTATCTCTCTCTCTCTCTCTCTCTCTCTCCCTCTCTCTCTCTCTCTCTCTCTGTATACACACACTTTTCTCTATTTTGTTTTGATTTTGTTTGTTCATATTTTATTCCCCCTCTTGCTTGTATATTTATGCAAGAACAGTTTACAATTTTTCTTCCCTTCATTTTGAGTGCATTGACCATCCAAGTATCAGATGTGCTAAGTGGCAGAATAGAAAGGTTTATTTTTCTCATCCTCTGGCTGAACAAAATGTCATCACTCACAACGTGGTGTGTTAGGGGAGCCTCTTTCCTGTGCTGTGACACAACAGAACCTCTGTAGTATTGGTTACGTTGGCAAGCAAGGCAGTATATGAAAGGTAAATGTTGTAACTTGAAGAATTTTCCCAAGGATTGAACGATGGAGGGAAGGGGGAAATGTGGGTGTATTTGTTACGTTTGGCAGATGGTTCTATCTGGTTTTATTTTGTGGAAATCTAGAGAGTGGGGTCCCCCCCCCCCGCTCCAAGTCTCTGAGTTCCCCCCAGTGTGGCTCCTTTCCATCTCCTGTTAGAAAGGCAAAAGGGTGGGGGAAATGAAGTACAGAAGGGGAGTGGCTTTTGATAGGAAAAGGCTGAAACTGGTGACTTTTCTTTCCAGAGGTTCCTGCAGTTTTGAGCAGACTCCTCCTCCTGAATCCGTGCAGAGTCAACAGAGAGTTCTTTATGGTGTGGGGTTTCATGAATGAAGAGCGCTTGCTGCTTTGGCACCGGAGCTGTCTCAGCTGCGAGAAGAACAAAACAGCTTTGCCGCAAGAAGAGGAGAGCAGTGGCAGGATCAAGTAAGTCTTAATGCGCTTGTTCTGTTCCTGGCTCAAACAAGAAGAAAAACGGGAAGGAGTGGAGGAGTTCCCTCTGTGACTAGAATGCCTCTTTTCTGGCATAGTTCTGCATGGATGCTTGATAGGATGTCTGTTAGGTTTGAACACCTTTCCACTGTTCCCTAACAGTTAAGGATGGCGACAGAAGCTATAGGGGGACTTTTGTGGGATCTAGACGGATGCCACTTCATGGCTGTTAAACTGAAAGTCTGCAAAGAAGCTGATTTTAAAAGCATTAACTGAACTCCGGTCTCTGTTGCTCCTTCTGGTTCCAATTATATCTGTCAGTGTTTTCAGCTCACCTGCCTTACATTTCCGATTCCCTGTTATGTGGTCATGCTGGCTGCTGGAATAAAGTTGTTGCCACTTGGTGAGTGTTGACTCCACAGGATATACTTTCCTGACCCTTCTGAGGTTTTTCTAAAGCATTTTTTTTTCTGTTGTCCCCTTTCCTATTTGTACCATGTGTCTTCCAGTGTGGGAGTCTACTGTAATACTTTATCATCATGCCCTGAGGGCAGCCAAAAATCCTGTTGCATGGGAAACTGAGGCTTGTGGAAGGTGGTTGAGCAGGAAATGGATGATCCTGAAAATGTGTGCTTTATTAACATCCAGTTGACTGTTGTAGCGTCTCTTGCTTTTGCTGTGTAAAGCACTATTTACTCATTTCTGAATGCTTAATCATAGCATGCCTTCATGACTCAGTTAGTTCTTGCAGGGTGAAATAGCAGTCATTGTTGGTTTCTGACCAAGGGAAGACAAGAAAAATGTTTGAAATCTTCTTTCAAGGGGAAAAAAAAAACTTGGGTCAGCCAGTACTCAAGTGGCAGCTGTACCATGTCCAGAGATCTCAGGATCACCGTGTTGATCTTGTAATGCTTTACACTACAGCAGTCGTCTTCAGCTTTTCAGGACCCACGGACCACCTTTAACCCTTAGGAGGCAGCAGGGACCCCCCCATGAGGTGCAAGCTCATAACATCAGAGGTGACACCAGAATTGCGTGACAGGAAGAGGAGGAGCCAGAGGGTGTGAACATGTCTGTATTAAAAAAAGAAATCCTCTGAATTGTTCAGTGACTCCACCATGTTACTGTGCTGTTCCTCTCACTGTGCATGCAGTGTGAGGCAAGGGGGGCGTGGCACCCTTGCTATCTATACCTGGGCCTCAGCAACAGGTCCTTCCAAAAAACAGCGGCCCTACACGGGCTCGTGACTCAGCCGGTGAAGCCCTGTGACCCAGTTGAGGTCCCAGCCCATGGGTTTTATGCCATTTCTCTGTAGCTTAATCACCATGATAAATATTTATAAGTACTTGAATGTGTTGTGTATTAAGTTATAGTAGTGCTTTATCAGTGTTTCCATTTTGATCTTTGGAAACCTTTTCAACTTTTTAGTAACTCTGTGCATAAAACCAGCAGACCGGATAACAATTGCCTGCATGCACTTTCTGAATACTGATTGGTATCTCTTCTGCAGAAGCAAGCAGATATTGTACATCTCTCTGAACAACGGTTGCAGTGCTGTGTTGTTCTAAATTTTACAGATGATGGGATGTGTAATAACTTTTGAAAACATTTGCAAGTTTCACTTCAGATTATTTGATACTCAGTTTTTTTCCTGATTCCCCATCCATTTATCTAGATGCACTTTCTGTAACATACATATGTGTAACAATATAGCATAGATGCAGTCCTCAAATGTTCAAACTTCCTTTCTCCTTCTGGGTTTAGTGTGTTGCTGAGAAGACTGAAACTGGGCATCACATGCATTTGATTACTTTGTGCATTCAGGTTTTATTGAGCTTATTTCTTCCTGTATAGATATTTTCTTGTTGCTGTTGTTCCATAGACACTTCATAGACCTCTTCAAGACCCCAAGTTGTACAAGAAATGGTGTGGGTATATGATAGGCTTCATTGTTTCTTTGTCATCTTACCCTAATACCCCATGACGTAATACTCTAATTTAGAAAAGATGGATTGATTTAAATCAAGGTGCTTTAAATCAGGTTTCTGGATAGTATGCAGAATAATTAGTTGCTATAATTATTTAAACAATATAGTTGCAACTAAATAGACCCTTTTATCCATCTCAGGATAGCATATGTGGTTCTCTACTCCCCTATAATTATCCCTGCAACAAGCTGTGAAGTGGGTTAGACTGGAAGAGGGTAATTGGCCTAGGGTAACCCAGCAAGCTTTGTAGCTGAGTGACTATTTTAATGTGGGTCCCTCCAGTCCTAGTCTAACATAACTGCTGTACCAGACTTGTTCTCCCAAGCCCAGGAGTATAATCCAAAACTTACATCAAACAGCCCACATACCTTGTGCTATAGTTACATATGTTTAGGGGAGCAATTATGAAATTAAGTTTTTTTGTTTAGTGTGTGCTCCCCCCCCCAAAAAAAAGATTGTAACAGATCACTAGCATGGACTGACAGTGCAGTCCTTAGAACATTTTCTTGGGAGTAAGCCCCATTGAATAGACCTGAGTAGAATTCAGAGTGGACCTGCCTGGTGCCCAGAATTTTCCAGAAAGAAAAACTGGTAGTTGCTGGGCAGAACAATATTTGTCCATGATGTGGGAAGTAATTGATTATCAGAGGATAAACATTCATACTTTGAACAATAATGGATACAATATTTTGATTGACTGTGAAAAAAAACAGCTTGACCTCAGAATGTTTGTGCCTCCTGGTGCATTATTTTACATAGCAATGGGAAAGCAGAATGACTTGATGCCTTTGAAAGAAGACCATAATTTTGAGTTTTTAAGACATTGGCTTGGTTTGGACAGTTTGGCACTACATGATTCATGAATGAATCTAGGGAATTCTGGGGCTTATGCACATACTCTTCCCCCTCTCCTTCCCATGCTCAGTGCAGCCTTGGTTGTTTCCTGATTTGCAGTAGGCCATGATCCCCCCGTGTAGATCCTGAACTAGGAAACTGTGGTTTATACTTGCTTTCCAAACCAAGGTTACGGAGCGTGGTTTGTTCTTAGCTTGCTATCCTGGTTTGCAGAGAAGGTGAAGACCATGGTTTCACACTTCAGATGTAATGGCAAACTGTGGTTTAAGGCAAACCAGAAAGTAGCTAGTTAGATCATGATGTGTGGGGGTGGAGGAAAGGAAGTGCTGCTTCTCCCTGGCAGCTCAGTCAGGTGTGTCTGAAATCCTGAGCATATGCTAGGAGAAGGTAATGGGATGGGTGAGGACCAATAAGCCGAATCTCAGTTCAGGCAAGACAGGTTGTGGTGGTCAATGGTAAATCTGCTCAAGGCATAAGGAGTCAATGTGTCCTGGAGTGGATCACTGTTCTCCTGAAAGAGCTGGTCTGTAGCTGGGGGGTGCTGATGGATCCTGGGTACATTTGGAGTTGGCAGCTCTCCTCTGTGGCACATAGTACCTTTAAGCGGTTTTCACTGATTTATGGCTGTTCCTTTGGAAGAACGTTTTGGCCTCCGTGATCCATGCTGTGATCCTGTCCAAGTTAGAGAACTGCAGTGTGATTTACATTGAGTAGCTTTTGAATACTGTCAGAAGACTTCAAATTGTCCAAAAATGCAGTGGCTAGGTTGCTGTGGGGGGTGGGATACAGGGTTCATAGGGCTAAAAAATTAGCATTGGTTACCTGTTTCCTAGCACAGTTGAAAGTGCTGGCTGGTATCTTATGTGACACTTGAACAGTTTGGTACCAGGATATATAAAGGTCCTCCTCCCATACTGTCCAGCTGACCAGTTAAGGTCCTCATCTCAAGTACTGTTCCTGTTCCCTCTGACCATGGAGGCGAAGCAGGCAGTGACTAGGGATGGGGACTTCTCAGTGGTGGTACTCTGCCTGTGGAATAACCTTCCACTTGAAGCTCACCTAATACTGCCTTTTAGGCACCAGCCCCAAATGTTTTGGGTTTTTTTTACACAGCCTTCTAACTGAATTCTGTCTTCTTGCCTAGCTCTCTCCCCACTTTTATGTTGCTTCCTTTTATGCTGATCTTTAAACTGCTGGCTGCTGTTTTAAAATACTGGTAGTGGATTTTATTGTTGCTGTTTTAGTTTGCTTTAGTCAATTGAGTTATTTTGTAATTTTATAAATATTAAATTGTATTGTGTTACTTCATATTGTTGGCCTGTTACAGGCAGATTCTGTGGAGTGTCTATATATCTAATAGTGAAATCTGGCCCCTGCCTGCAGATACCTAAACCTGCAGATCGGGGCCACACCAATGCTAAAGAGGTTTTTCTGCAAACTTGGGGGACCCCTAGGTTTGCAGAAAAATCTGAAAACTTAACAAAAATATATTGGGTTTAAATTGCCTCCCAAATAAAAAAGCATTGTCTGCAATGCAGAGCCTAGCTGCCGCAGTAGAGGATGCTGGGAGAGGCTCAGGACCCAGCTGCGGCAGCGAAAGACGGTGGGAGTGGCTCCCAGGCACTGCTGCTGCCGCCTCTCTCCAAGGTGGGTGGTGGAGCCCAGGGTCGGTTCCGACTAGGCGATGGGGGAGATGGGATCCTCCCATGAGTCTTGTGGGCTCCCAGTTGTAGGATATAAATACTTTAACTTAAATAAGAAGCGAGCAAAATGAGCCTGAAGTCCCATCCTCTTGACCCTCTCTGGCTTATTCATGTAGAGCTAAACTACAGTTAGGTAGTATTGCTGAGCTGAGCTGTAGCATGTATAAATTTTATAACGTTTCTGGTTTTGGTATAGTTTTTTTTTTGTATAGTTTGATTTTTTTTTTTTTTGAAAAACCATAAAATATTATCTACCCTGAGGAAAAATGCTCTACTGGTATCATGAACAGAAGCCTTTAGAAATGATCTCTTTGTTTTACAGTCAAAGGACCTTGTTATATGCATATGAGTTTTCCTTGTACTAAATATTTTAACAATTTTTGTGTTAATATTTAACATTTATTTATTTCTGATTGTTATCTGGGTGGTGGTAATGGATGTCATTCAA